ATGTCATTCTATTACTAACGTATAAATAAGGGGAAAAAGCTTGAGATGGGGGACTCATGTGGGGACTCTTCAGGACTGGTCTCTCCCTCTGGATGCATCTTGTGTTCCCCACCGGCAGACGGGCTGCCCCTGTGCACCTCGAGAGCCACACTCAGCTTTGGTAATTATCAAGGGTTGGGAGTGTTTTACTAATCTTGTTGCGGACGTGTGTAAGTGCTTGAGTCTAAGTAAAGTTTAGCTTTAAGTGAAAGCACTCGTGTTGTCCTGTTTGTGCCAGCCATCTATTGGTCGGACGGCCGTGTCTCCACTGCAGGGCCAGCTCTAACTTTTTTGCCGCCCAGGCAAAAAAGAAGCGCCGCCCCTCCGTAACACCCCCCCCCCCAAGCGCTGCACTGGGTCGGCCAAACCCCCGCCCCCCCCCCGCGCCGCTCTGCTCAACCCGCCCCCAGCGCTGTGCTGCCCAAACCCCCGCCCCCCTCCAGCGCCGCACCAGGCTGTCCAAAGCCCCTCCCTGAGCGCCTCGCCGGGCCGCCCAAAGCCCCGGAGCGCCGGCCCGGCCAAACCCATCCGAGCGCCTCGCCAGGTCGCCCAAACCCCCGAGCACCTTGCCGGGCCGCCCAAACCCCTGGAGCGCCGGGCTGGGCTGGCCAAACCCCCTCCCCCCCCAAGAACCATGCCGGGCCGCCCAAACTCCTGGAGTGCCGGGCCGGGCCGCCCAAACCCCCGGTGCGCTGCGCCGCCGAAACGCCCCCCATGCTGCCTGGCCGAAACAAAAACAAAAATAAAAAAACCCTCGAGTGCCGCCCGCCGAACAAAAAAACACCACGAGCGCCCCCCGCCAAGCCAACATTGGCCGCCCCTTCTAAGGTGCCACCCCAAGCATCTGCTTGGTCGGCTGGTGCCTGGGAGCCGGCCCTGCTCCCCTGATTTATTTCCTGACACCTCCTCGCACAGAGTAAAAGTTACCAAGAGCTTTGGGTTGAAAGAACCCTGGGTAACATAGCTTCATTCCGTATGTGGCTGGATAGATGGATGTTGCCTGTGAGAATTTGATTTGATTCAAATCTTTTAGATGGTAGGTCTGACATTGGTCTAATTTCAGACATGATGGGCTATATTCAAATATGATGGAAGTGGGTTCAGTTCCATTGATTTGAATAGAGTTTCATCTGCTTACATCACATTAGATATTGTTTGAGCTTTCCCACATTCAGCACTGCTCTGCAGTCACCCTGCTACCCCGTTCCTTGGCCAATTCTGAACAGATTTTGCCAAACCATGTAGTGGTTTGTAATGTTCATAAGGGTCCATTAAGGATTTAGAGGAGACACCAACATCATGTAACTTGTGATTTAAATGGATTTGAAACGAGCCCTCCTGAGATGGCTGGGTAGTAAGCCAGCTAAGCTTCCATTTATTTCTTGTTTAAAAATTTAAGCAGGACAAGTGGTGATTGGTTGCATTGTTTTGGTGTTTGCCTATGTTATGTGGAGGGACAGAATCCCAGATGGGAGTGCTACTGACCAGTCCCTCGCATTGCTTTACAGGAGACCCAGCCACAGATGCACTCAATTGTTGTGGACTCTTTACCTGAAGAAATTTCTGAGACTTCTTCTGAACTTGGGAAAGACAAAACTGAAGATGTTGATGTTGATAAGAAATCTGTGAAAGGGGAAGAAGTGTTAGGGGAAAAGGTGAAAATCTTAGGCGGTGGGTATAATAGGCAAGGGGTGACTCTGCCTCCCCTGGCGCTGCCGCGGCTGTCGGACCCCCAGTTGTGGGGTTTGGCGGCAAAGTTTTTGCTTTATTATGCAAATAATAAAGGTTCCGGGGCAGCCAAGAAGGCACATACATACTGCTGCCTCAGCTGCCCCGGAACCTGCATGGGGCATATCAAAAGCGTCTTCTAACAGACGCTTTTCCCCTGGGCAGGTTGGGTCCAGGGAGAGGAGGCACGGCGCAGCTTCGGCCAGCCTAGGGTGCCTCCGGGCAGGGCTGGGGGGGAGGTCTTGGGGCTTCAGCCAGCCCAGGGCTCCTCCAGCCGAGGGGGGCACTCGGCTTCGGCCGGCCCAGGGCTCCTGCGGCTGGGGGGACTTGTGGCTCCAGCTGTGGGGGAGGGGGAGTGGTCTGGGGCTCCAACCGTGGGGAGGGCACGGGCGGAAGGGGCGGAGCCGGGGGCTAGCCTCCCCAAAGGGGGGCTCCACCCGCCACTCATGGTGAAAATCTCCATTTTACAAGTGAGTGCAGTAGCCGTGGTTGGCGCAAGATGTACTGCTTTCCAGTGGAGCCTTTCTTTGCTTCTTGCCATTTGCATATGACGTGAAATGTAGGCCTCAAAGCCTTCGTTGTGCCAGGAGCCATTGCACTAACTCATCATTCACCTTTCCTTCAGCAGGAGCCACCTGTGCCAGACGTCAGCAGTGACGTCCCAACTGTAAGCAGTGAGATAATGGAGGACACCATCAGATACCTAGGACATGACTCCAACATCCATTTGAAATCCCTCAAGTCAACAGCGGTGTCGGTCTCTGGGGTAGGAATCTCCATCATACAAATTGTTTCCTTTTCACCTGGACTGTAGCTTGAGCTCTGGGACCAGATTTTTAAAGGTATTTTGGTGCCTAAGATGCAGATAAATTCCTAGTGGCACTTTCAAAACAATCTGAGAAGCTGTGGCTGTGCTAATCAGATGGCAGGGGCTCCATTTCTCCCTTTTTTTCTCCCTTTTCAGTTTTCTGATTTTCCACAAAAGCAATAAGATTCTGGCTATCAATGACTAAAACACTCCCTGAAATTTTGGAATGGATTATATACAGTGTTCAAAAGTTATCGCGTTACAGACAGACAAATGCCATTAAGTGTAAGGCCTTCTCAAGCTCAGCCAATTAAAGGAACTATCTGTCCCTTCTCATACTTTTGACCTCCTTTCATTCTGAGCCTGACCATCAAGGCTTTCCAGTCAGGACATCACCCTCACAAACTGCCCATAACCTGACAGACTACATGCCATCTGGGTGTGTATTGAAGGTTTTGGCAATCCAAGTCAATTACCCACTGAGTTCCGAAGAAGTGGGCTGTAGCCCAGGAAAGCTTATGCTCAAATAAATTTGTTAGTCTCTAAGGTGCCACATGTTCTTTTTGAGTTCATTCAGGCTCTGATTCAGCAAAGCACTAACTCTGAGCATGTGAGAAGATCCAGTTGAAGTTCATGGGACTGATCACATGCCTAAAGTGAAGCCTGTGCTTAAGTGCTTTGCTGAATTGGAGCCTTGATGCAATGCCCTGCCCTTCTTTGTTGCTTGTCCATGCTGCGATTAAGCAGTGACAGACCAGCACCCATGAGCTTTCCCACATTCAGCACTGCTCTGCAGTTACCCTGCTACCCCGTCCTTGGCCAATTCTG